TCATTCTCTTTACCTTCCACCACCGTTGACGAGGCACTCTTTCTCCACCCCCGCCCCCCTCTCGATGTTGCTAGTGACGAAGGTTGTAGAGATATATTGCAATGGTGATTTTTCTCATATATATGTGCGATTTGTTGCAGAGATTATCTTCCATAATCTGTTGTAGAGATTTGTTCAAATGGTGCAGCGTAGTGATGTCGTGGTTGCTGTGGTGGGTTCAGATGGTGTGTGGTGGTGTTGTGGTTGATGTGATGGTGATGTTAGCAATCTGGTGTGGCGATAGTGGCAGTGGTGTTGTGGTGGGTTCAGATGGTGTGTGGTGATGTTGTAGTTGCTATGATGGTGACGTTGGCAGTTTGGTGTGGTGGCGGTGATGTTGGTGGTGATAGTGGCGATGGTCACGGGTGGGGTGGGGTGACCTAGTATTTGATTGATTGATACTAGAGGTGGGCGTGGATTGGGTTATTTCGATTTTTTACCCAACCCAACATGATTAATTTGATCTAAAATCAACCCAACATTTATGAGCTTCAATCCAACCCAACCCAATCAAGCTTCGATCGGGTGGGGTCGATCGGTTTAGATTTTAGACAAAAAAAAAAAAAAATTGTTGGACGATAAAAACCATAAAGAAAATTGTTTCAAAGCGATCATCCAAATATCTATTCATGACTACAAATACCCAAGAGACCACAAATATTTCAAACCAATTGGAAAACAAGAATAAAAAAACACAATCCATTTCCAGTAATTGACAAAGTAATCAAATCAACTTCGAGATACAAATATATGGCCTAATCTTTGAAATAATATTCACCCCAAAGTAATGCAAATGATACTAGTCGCAAAAATGCAGTAGCAATGGAAGGGAGTGCTTGTACAACAAATGAAATAAACGTCAAATTAAACTAGTTGCAACTCCATTTCACCCGAAACTAATAAGGGAAATTATTCTCAAGCAAACAATTGTATCTTCAAATTATCCAAACATTATAAGATGATAAAAATTGGAAGTAATCTTATGAAAATTAAACTATCCAACATTCAACATTCTGTGAAGGACTTTAATATAATGAAATCAAAACAGCAGAAAACATCTACAAGGAATTTTATGGAATCTAACAGCAAAATCTTGAAGAAGGAGCAAGTAACGTAAACTTCATGAAAAAAAAAAAAAAGAAAGAAANAGAAAACATCTACAAGGAATTTTATGGAATCTAACAGCAAAATCTTGAAGAAGGAGCAAGTAACGTAAACTTCATGAAAAAAAAAAAAAAAAGAAAGAAATGACCGGCTATAACTATAAACGTCAAGTTCAAATGGGATTCGGTCAGAAATTGGAGGATAATCAGCATTGAATGTCCATGGACAACTGACGACTAGCGTCGACAACTGAAAAATGAAGGTTAGCATTGGCAATTTGAGCCTGAGGGGAGAGCGAGAGATTGAGTTTAAGCCCTTGTTTGGCACACATTAAAAATTTTATTCTCATTCTTTTACTCATTTTCAACCACACATTTTTCAATGAAATAATATTTTCCATCACATCAATAATTTTTCCTTCTTTTTCAACCATACATTTTCCATCAATCTACTATTCCAAAATACATTCTTCCAAAATAATATCCATCAAACACACCATAATTGACTTCGTACATGACATAGTCATTACAAATCGACCAGCTTACCTAAGTAATCC